ACTAGTGATTTCAATACTATGCCTTCATGGAAGAACAGCTTAAATGAGAGGACACTATTGTGTCTAGGATCTCCTTTTAAACCTAAAATTAATTAACACATCTACTTACATGTTACTTATGTCCAAAGCTGTTATGAAGACAAATCAAGATCCTCTATTTTTTCACTGAAATTAAATGTATTTGAAAAAAATTCTCCTCAAAGTTCAGATATTAAATAAATCCCAGGTAGATTTACATATTTAACTAAAAACACTGTCTTTATTTTGTGATGAGAGATGTATCTTTTTTAGCAGAAAAAGTGTATAATCATTACCAACAATGTTTATTATACTGTACATCTTGGGTCTGACCTTATTTCAGCACATTCTAAGAAGCCTTGATAAAATAAGTACATTTTATAACTGGATCAATAAGATGCTAGAGAAAGTAAATTGTAGTAATTCACAATTTTGCAATATAGAAACTCATTTTACAAGGCTGTTTTGAAATTGCTTTAAAAGGTAGTTTATAAATGTAAAAAATTATATAATTCGACTCTTTACTATTATACATTACAACTGGAAGAGGCCTTTAAGATGATATAAATAATTAACTGTCCTTATTTTATAGATAAGGAAAAGGAAATCCTGAAAGGTGAATTTAATTAATTGATGAAAGTTATACAAGTAATTAATTACAACAGTCTGTACTGTATAACCCAGGGCAGGATTCTCCCTATAATAGGAAATAGAAGTTATTACTAAAAATATATGTAGAATAAATTAAAAGGATGATAGAATAAATTTAGCTTACCAAATATTGTTAATTAAATTTTAGATACTTAAAAATGTATTTAACTTAAATAACCTAACTTTGTCAGATAAAACTTTATTTTACTAAGGAACAATTAGTAAAATGACTAATAATTTTCTTAGTAATTAATGAAGGTTTATTGATATCAGGACTTTAAACCAAATTAAGACTTACACAGAACATTTAGATACATAAGAAAATTTAAACTACATAAGTATATGGAAAATGTGCCTTGATTATTATAAACTATAATGACTTGAGGTTCAATTTTACTTCACATGTACTTTTAATACTTGCAGATTAAAAGATAACATTGTAAAATTCCACGTTTTCCTACTGTTAAGATAGGAAAGTAAAATATGAAGTGTTAATGAATATAAATTTAGTTTCAGATATTTACTCCCATACTTGGGGAAGATCAGTGTCTAAGAAAATTATTGTTTTAATAATTATTCTTAAATTGCCAGCCTCTGAGAGGTGAATAGCTACATGTAAATAGAAGGAATAGCCACTTCAAAAAATGGTAGAGGTGTAAGTGCCATGACTGTATTCTACTGGAAATTAATATAACACAGATTAAAATTTGTATCGATTTTGTTTTGTGTGTTGTGTGTTTTTTAATGTTTTGATAAATTTCTTTTGAAAAATGGAAAAAGCCAGATTTCAGTCATTATTTCCTGTTTAGAATTAATGATATTTTTTTAAATTACAAAAGCCTTTTTTAAAGTTTCCATATTTGGAAAACTTAAAATTTGAACTTGAATCTTAATTATCATAGTTTAGAGTCAAATACGTGCATATACACACACAGACTTACATATATACATACATATATAGAGTCAATTTTTTGTCTTCAAGTTTAAAGTTATATGTCTAGTATAATATGTATTTTTTTACTTTAATATTACCAATCTTTGTGTTTTGAAACTTTCACTTGTTTATTGTTCATGAAGAATTAGAAACCCACGTGTTTCATTTAGTTGCAAAAATGAGTAAGTCTTTTAAAGATCCAGTTAGGGATTTGAGTGAAGATAGAAAAGAGTGGAAAAACGGGGAAACCATGAGATGGAAGGAGAAAATATAAGTTTGTTAAAAAGCCAAATAAACTAGATTAAATCTCATATAGCAGGTAACAGTAGATAATTGGACCTAGGACTGTGTTACTAACATGAATACGGCAAAATATTGAGTGAAAATATTCTATAAAACAAATCCATTAATTATTCAGAATAAAATTTCCACAATGCAAATTTTATTAGAGCTGCGAGCCAGTTATTAGGTTCCGAGTGTGTGTGCGTGCGTGCGCGAGCACACAAGATGGGTGGTGGGTGTTGAATGAAATTTGTGTATTTGCTGAGCTTAAAAGGGATAGTTTTCTCTACTAGAAAAATGTGTAGGACAAAGTAAATACAATGTGAAATATTAGGAGTTTCTGTCTTCAAACATAAAAGATCTGGGTCTTGAGGCAAATCAAGAGAACCTGCCAAAGGAATGGGAAAGGAGGGCAGGGGAGTTTGATGTTCTGTGCAGATGAGGGACAGCGCCCAGTAAGGGGGCCAAATGCTTGGGAGCTTTGACACCACTGGAGCAGATGAGGGACTGGCCGTATTTTGAGGAGGCAGGAGTAATAATGTTGCCAAGTGCCTGCATATTCAAAAAGAGTATCACTGATTAGGAGCTAGAGAAGTTACTTGAGAAAATAAACTAAATACTAGAAATGATATATTTTTTTCCTACACTACACCTTGTTCTCTTTCTTCCCAGGACACTCAAGATAGAATCCAAAACAGCTTCTGAAAGAGGTGGTGCAGTTTATTGTCATATCCAATAGATTTTCAAATAATTAAGTTTATTTGCCCAAAGTAGAAATGGTCAAAAGGAAGGTCGATCAGGTAATAAAGATGATACAGGGAAAATGGGTAATGAGCAACCTGAATTCTTTTTCTTGTTTGGGAGAAATTTTTCTAGTATAGGATGAACATTTGGGACACAACTGAGCTAACTGGCAAATTCCTCATTCTATGTTTACTGAAGGATATCCACATATAATTGTACTCATTGGTGGAAGTAACACTTTTAACTTATCTTTATTCTTTCAAGAATACTACACTTTTATTGCTAAACAGACAAAGCCACAGCACCAAACAATAGATACTCTCCCTTTCGCAGCTCCCATTATAAAGATGCTCTCCAGAAGAGTGGAGCCGCGGTAAAATTTTAAAACAGATTTCAAGTTAGGAGAAAAATAAAAAAGCCTTTCTGCTAATGGAAATATTTTTCTTTCTAATGAGAAGTCTGAGAAGAGGCAAACTGCAGCATAAGGAATGAAAAAAATGTTCCTGACTTTCCATCCCTGTGGTCATAGGAACCATACCAGACCAACACCATGTCTCACCTGTGAAGGATTAAGGACATTCTTCTAACCACTTAACTTGTTAGGCTGTTTCATTTTTAGTAATGTACACCAGGAATTGAAAATGATACTCTATTTTAGAACAGAGTAAGTGGATAAGTGATCTACTCTGAGGTTTATTTTTATTTACTTCTTATCCTGCCCATTTTACACTAGCTGAAATTGTAGTCTATTGGAGCGATGTGACGTTCTGAACACCTCAGGAGAGTACCTTGTAAATATTTATTACTGCTCTCAGGTGGCAGTGAGCTGAAGTCCTCTCCATCAGTAGGGGTAAAAATGATTTAAAATGCCATTTATCCAACAGCTTTACTGCTAAGAGTTATTTTGCTTTTTTCCTAGGGTTACTTGTGTTTATGGAACAAATTTGAATAGTGCCAAATAGTCTGGACAATTTGGAATTGCAAAGAAAAGTCGCCCAACAATGTGCGCAAGTTCAAACTTCAGGCACTTTGTTGATCCTGACCGTTGTCCCGTCTCTGCATCACAATGAGGGCTTCAGTGGGAATGTGTCCGTGGGTGGGAAGCCAGTGCGAACTCCATGTGTTCTGGGATGACAGGAGAAAATATGAATGTATCTCTGCGGACCTCAAAGCTTTCATGGCTGTAGAGATATCTAATCATTATTATTTCAGAAAAATACCCTGAATTT